AGTTATAAGGGACTTTGCCTACACTTTCCCTAAGTGTAAATGGTACATTCTACTGAGGAGGACATATTTAGAAAACTAGTAATTATAGACTGTAGTGAGTTTTAAGGTAAAGAAAATAGTTGCGAGAACAATTAGCATTTGGGCTTCATTTCATCTATGGGGCCAGAAATTGTTTCCCTGAGTGGAAACTAACCGAGGTTTTAAGTAATTGTCAAGCTGGAGGGAACATGGTGTTATTCTGGAATTGAAAAACACGTGCTGTAGGAACAGCATGTGAAAGTATATGGTAAGAAAAAAAGACGGAGAGATAAGGGCCATATCATGGAAAGTTGTTAAACTTTTGCTGAGTTTAGGACAGACTTTGGAATGGAAGAGATACTTGGATTTTGGGGGCTTTCTTAATTTCTTTTTCCACCCTTGTTTTCTTAAACTTTCTCCATTGGATGACAATCCATGTGTGGGCCCGTGCCCTGCCACTGAGGTCTCAAGTCAGTTGGTGTTAATTTGAGGTTTTACTTGCAGTAGCAATAAATATATTTCTTCTTAAAATAACCAAAAGTATTGTTACAATTGCAATATTACTGAAAATGTGAAATAAAATTTATAATTAAATGTAATCTTGGGAATGTGTTTTGAGTTGATTGCTGGTCAAGTCAGGAAGAATATTTTCCGTTAAAGCTGCTGAATCTCATAATGACATTGATACAATGGTAGCAGCTGTTTTCACTTAACATTTACCTAATATTCCTTTGGTCATAAATTTTTTTTTATGTCCCAAGGAACTAATTAAATTGACCTCTTGAGTAAATCAGAAGATTAATACCATATGTGAAAATTTTCACATTATAATTAATTACAAATGGTAACCTTTGTCTTGAACTCATTTTCCACCACACAGGAAAAATACTGAATTTTGAATGTCCAAGAACTAAAAATACTTATTTGAAAATCATGTGTTTTGTATAAGTAATTCAGAACTTCAGCTTCTAAGTATAAATGAGAGATTTTAAGAAGTGTGAGTCTTGCATGTAAAGTAACCCAAGAAGCCATTTGTTATTTAGTTTACAGTGAAGCCAGGTTTTATTCAAGTAATCTTCAGTAAACATGGATGGTACCACAGGTAAACGTATATACTGTGTCATGGTCTCTTGTCTCTGTCTCACCTTTACCATTTATATGATAGTTAATACCATCTTTTTTAAAAATTGAAACTATTTTCATGAATTATGAACTGAGAATAGGATAATACTCTTCTGACATTCTGTGAAATTCTTCATATAAATGTATCAATATCTAGTCATTTGTTCAGCAGCCAAACATTTGATTTTTTTTTTTTTTTCTTAGAAAACTGTGGACCTGGGCCAGGGATATAGCTCAGCAACATAAGCGCCTGCCTGGCAAGTACAAGGTCCTGAGTTTGATCCCTGGTATCACCACAAAAAAAAGTTTGGGCCGGAGAGATAGCTCAGTAGA